GGCTTATCCTGCCCCACCCCGCGCGGTACGGATCCGTACTCGTGATGTGCGGAAAGGCTTTTCTACATGTTTTAAAGAGGCTATAAAAATGTCATGCAGTTCAAACCTGTGCTGCATGATCTCTAAGAATTAGCAATTACAACTGTTGGAGCTTGCTACTGCAGTTTTCAGATCTAAGGACGCTTTGTCATACACGTGGGTTTTGGAAGCATCATGGTGCCTGCTGTAGCTAATCGGCGCCAGAAGACGTGTTCTCGTAGCACGACCTACTAGAATAAATTCTAACAAATAATCGATCAGGTTGTTCCCCTATATACCTACTTATATATAAACATATATATAAAAATATTTATATACGTGTGTATAAATATATATGGATGTACATGTAAGTAGGTATACACAACAGCCAAAAACGGAGGTGCGTCTTACCCCTATATTGCTACTACGTAAGCACAAATTTATTCGTTAATATTAAGGACAAATAAACGTATTGAAAGATTTCTATACTAAATCGCGCGTCAGACGCGTTTCGCCCCCTCCCCCCGCCGGGGGCCTCGTCAGTGGCTTATCCAGTCTAGAAGTGTGATCTTTACCTATCGTGCAATACCAAACTAAGAACCTTCTATAAATTAGTGTGACCACATAAATTACTCATTATAACTACCAAACCCGGCAGCTGGGGCGTCGACCCGGAAGAAATTTTCCGCTATGATAACTCCACTTCCAACACCCCCCCTTCGACGGCCAAGTTACCGGCCTCTCTGTCGATCCTCGCCAGCAATCTTACCCGCGGCTCCCTTGGCACTGAGATTCCTTTTGCAATAGCCCTTCATTATCCTTGGGCGACTTCAATACGAGCAACTCCTACACGCCCCTGGGTCTGCTGATCTTAAGAGCTTGTTTCTTAGCCATTTATTGTGGTCTTGCAAAATCTCGTCACTACTCGTGCGTGCAAACTTTCGTGTCACAAACAGCATCCAGTCCTTTTGATTAAGGACTCATTCACTCTATACTGCCCTCCAACATTGTCCTCAATCACCGTACTCCTCTGCGTCCGATCACTCATACAGCCAGCCATCATCGCGTCACCTTCCTTGCCCTTAAAAAAAACCGTCATCACGTGCGCCATCTTCGTCAATCTTCAGACAAGTTTCCGGCGCCACGTGCACGACGTGCCATCACCGGCGGATTTTCGTCGCACAAGTCGATTTTTGAAAAGATGGCTGAGGCGAGGTCTTGGTCTCAAAACCTTTTGTATTTTGAGGTTAGACAAGGGTACTGTTGTCGCTAATGAAAAAGAAGAGGGTAAAATGAAAAGTAAATAATTGTTAGCTACGTCCTTAGTTCGATGGTTCTACTTCTAAGCCCTTTCATATCGACTTTACGATAAAGTAACCAAAGATGAGATACACTTCATCGTTACACACAATTCCATTGTGTACTCTCTCCCATGTTGTGCATGGTAACAAAAGATTTCTTGCCATCAACAGTAACGCTCAATCCCGTTGTGTTGTCCTTTCGCATGTGGTGAATCTCTTATCACCCCAATCATCTTATCTGAACATAGCACCAACACTCTCCCTCGACTAGAAGTCTCTGATCTTGGCCTTTTTCATCAGTGAATCTAACTTTTTTTCGAATTCGGCTTGGTGAGGAAGTCTGTCAACTGTAACTTCGTTTCAGTATACTTGACCTCAGTTTTCTTGTCCTTGGCTTGGTCACGAACAGAACGATACCTTATGTCAATGTGCTCGGCTCGACTATTATGTTCATCATTCTTCGCGATGGCAGTTTGTACACTGATTGTCTACATGGGACGGTGTCGCATAGTTGATTTGCACTTGCATCTCCTTCAGTATAGGACGGTGTCGCATAGTTGATTTGCACTTGCATATCCTTCAGTAAACTCTTTGTACACAGCACTTCCTGTACGCATACAGAGAGAGGCATCTATTCTGCTCCAGCTGTGCTCAACGCCATACTCTGCTGCATCTTCGACTTAAAGATCACAGGTACGCCATTGATCATGACTAAATGACTTACAAAATCCAGATGTTGATATGCAATTGTCCTTGTTACTTGCCCAGTCTGCGTCCGAATAAGCACTCATCTGCAAATTATCAGAAATTCCTTTATACAAAGTTGTCCTTCGACATCTTTAAATACCGCAATACTCAATTTGCTGCATTCCAGTGTTCTTGATGTGGAAAATCGAGGTGTCGGCTCAGCTGGCATACTGCATATGCGATATCTGGTCTTGTGCCTGATTCCGTATAAAATAGCGACCCAATTAACGACCGACATGGTCAAATCTTCATTTTTGGGTCAGTCTTGTCCATCTTGACCATGATTTGCCCTTCAACACTTGCATCGATAGATTTTTCGAGTCGACTTACTTAAAATTTTCGATCATTCTTGATATGCTTGATCCTTGGCTCATTTTAAGTCGTCGATCAAATTGCAGGTATTTGACTTCGATTCTAAGAACAAACGAACTCTTCCCAGTATCTTCATCTTGATTCGACTAGACAGTTAATCTGACACATCTTTAATGGTGTACATCGATCCAGCTCGGATCACAGGGAGATCCACATATAATAAAACGTAAATTCACGATCCTTTAGTGTGCTTGACAAGATGCGAGAGTCTGCCACACATGATCGAAATCCCATATCCACTAATACACACGAAATTTTCTCGGACCATGTCACCGCCGCTTGCTTAAGTCCATTTTAAGCTGCGGTTGTATTTCAGTACTTGATCATAACCTGCTTGTACATGCAATGAAAGTTATACGTATACTATTTCTTTTTAAGCCCTGTTTAGAAATGCATTGTCGATGTCACATTGACGGATATCATCCCCTTTTGACAACACACCGCAAAAAACACTCGAATTGAATTGAGGTTCGCCACTGAAGAAAATGTCTCTATATGATCTATGCCATATATCTGCCTGTAGCCAAGTGCTACATGACGCGCCTTGAAGCGCTCAATTTCGCCGGATTTGTTACGTTTGATCGCGAAAACCCACTTGGTTCCAATCATCTTTTGTCTTGGACGTTGCGAATCGACCGTCCAGGTGTTCTTGTCTTGTAAAGCCTATAATCCGGCTTAAATAGCCTTGTTTCACTTATCGCTTTGAAGTGACTTGAGAGCTTTGTCATATGTCGTTGGAGATTCGAATGCTGCACATGTTTTTTTTGTTGATATCCAATACCTAGTTGCTTCGTGTCACGTACTTGACACTCTCGACCTTGATTATATTCTTCACCTGAAATAAGCATTGTCACTAGTGCTCAAATTGGCCTGCTTTGGGTCGATTCAAACGGATTCATGCATGGTCTTGAAATGAATAGTTCACCATGTCCAGGATTGTTTTTGTCACAACATGTCCAGATAATAAATCTAGTTCACTTATCTCTTGCACATCTTCGATCACTGGCATGACGTCAATTTCGACAGTACGGTCAGATTTGTAAGACCCTGCTCGTCCATGTGTCGAAGAGGTATTTCGTGCTGGTCGATCTTCCACTGTCATCGTACCTTCTGACATGTGGGTATCTTGCTGCATCATGTCGCCACTATCCACTTCCATACCTTTAATCTCGCCTCGAATTTTTTTAATTAATAGTAATGACATCTTCATCATGGACTGTGCGAATCTCCCGTTTACTTAATCTGTAAGTACTTGTACGTACTGGAAAGGCGGTCGCTCATCAAATCTTGATGACCTCGTTTACGACACCCTATTGTTTTTTTGATCCCATACCCGTTGCCCATTTATAAGGCCAGAGAAACCTAGAAACGTACAGCGAAACGTCTTTTTGTGCAACTTAGTCCTTCTTTCTTTGTCAACATGTGCATAGCCCTTCGCATTGAAACTCACATCGCAGATAGATCAGGTTTTTGCCCGTTGATCATTTCAAATGGTGCCTTGGTATTATAACTGGCACATGGAACTCGGTTTGTCACGTAAACCGCTGTAGTCATGGCCTCCGTCCACCAATTTTTTTACACTTGCATGTGACTCAGCATAACTCTTGCTCGCTTTGTTAGCGTCCAATTCATTCTTACGGCTAGCCCATTATGTTGTGGCGAATATAGAATTGTTGTCTGGTGCAGAATTCCAAACCTTCGACACATTCCAGAAACGGTCTGTTAACTTATTTTGATTCGTTGTCTGTCCTTATGCACTTGATTTTCTTAGACAATTAGCTTTCCATCAGTGCCTTGTTTTCGGCAAAGCGATCAATCACCTCGGGCTTGTTCGATAAATAGTGCGCGACTTTATATCTGGACAAATCGTCGATAAATGTTACAACGAATCTTGATCCTCCTTGAGATTTTGTTTCCATGTGACCCATGACATCACTGTGGATGATCTCCAATTCTTTCTTAGATTATACCTGCCCGTGAATTGACTTTGGGAAGGTCTTGAAAGTTGACTTTCCTATCATGCATCCTTCGCATATCTCATCATCATTGTGACCATACTGAGTCCTTTTTTATCTTCAATTCATCGGCAAAGTCTACCATATCTTGAATCAGTTTCGTAAGTAGACGGACTTATCGTACATGCCACACCTGCAAATTAGCCATTACTGACCGCTGCTTGTTCTATGTTCTTGGTAAATCGTCTGACACACGTTTACTGACTCAGCCGGATTGCAATATAACACGTACATCTTGTCTAGTCTTGGTACTGTTGCAATCACCATTGTGTCGCTACTTATTTGACAGCTCAAATCGATGCAGATGAATTCAAGACTTTTCTTTGAAAGTGCCAAAATCGAGAGTAATATAGGGTCTAATCCGGGGACCTAAACTGTCCCCTCGATCCTGATTACGTTCCTGTATGTAACTTCACACGCGCTGTTCCAATTCCTGGAGCTTTCACCTTGTTTCCATCTGCGAGAGTGATCATAACCGGGCCCTTCAGTGAGTTAATCTCTGAGAACTCATCTTTGTCGGGACACATGTGGCTGCTAGACCCACTGTTTAAAAACAACCCAGCTGTCGTCCAGCTTGACGCAGTAAATGCTCTTTCTTCTCCTGATCTCTTCTTGTTTTCATGATCAGCCTTACAGTCCTGACGCTTGTGACCATAGTTGTTTTAAAGGTATCATCTTCCCGCAAACTTTCAATCTCTTTGACCAGTACTTGATCGACCTCCAATTTTTGAGATCCACCCTTGTTCCTCGGCATACGTGTTGTCTTCAAAGCAACTTTATGGTGCTCAATTCTAACCATCCCATCGTTCTCCCATCTCAGCATCTTCGTTGCATCCCATCTCAGCATCTCCGTTGTCACATCAGGCATGTTCTTAGTGACCTTAAAAATTGGTTAAAGTCTTTTGTTTGACAACCTAAAAAAGTCATTAAGTGCTCACCTTGCGAAATTTCTTGACGACGGCCTGCATAATCATGCACAGCTTGTCAAATTGCTGGAAGTGGTTCAATAAGCTTCCTTTCATGGCTATCAAGAATTCGTGTAGTTCTCGTCGCGGCTATACACGCTAGTGTATACTTTGTCGCAAGAAGATATGTTAAGTTTGTCCCATACCTCTGCAGTCAGATTTACCAGTCGCACCTATGACTTTAGGTTTTGCTAGATATCGTCGTCACAAACGCGAAAGACTTCATGCTATTGATTTTTTAAATTATAGCAGCGACGTCTCCTTCTTGCAAGCCTTCATAGCACTAGATGCTCCAACAACCCCTTCCTTGCCAGCCTCTGTCTCGTGTTTAAATCCGACACGAAGTAATAACCTGCGCGAAATACGTCGTTTGCGTCGAACACACTTAGGCTTAAAAGCTTTTGAAATATCAAAGAAATGTAATGAAAGAGTTGTATATTAGAACGCGCGCCAGACGCGTTTCGCTCCCCCGCCGGGGGCCTCGTCAGTGGCTTATCCAATCGAGAAGTGTGATCTTTCCCTTTCGTGCACAATCAAAATAATAACCTTATGATACTTAATGGGACCACATAAATTACTCACTATAACTACCAAACCTGGCAGCTGGGCCGTCGACCCGGAAGAAAGTGTCCTGTTTGGCAACTCTGCGCCAGACAATTTGCAATTATTATGAAATTATGAAATTTAGTGCTCTCGCGGCTCTCGGACCACGTGTACTCAGGATATTTCACGATAACGCATTAAAAAGAGTCTCTAAAAAAAGTTCGTTTCCTAACTTACACGCTTGGCATGTGTGCTTCTTTAACGACCCCTCGATACACCTGTAGTACCAGCTAAAGAAATGGAACTCTCATCCCAGTACAACTACGTCAATGACATTAGGGTGAATGCACTCGTCCGTGCAATAAACCCGTTCTCGGAAAAAAATAAAAGTTGATCATAAAGAACCGTTCGGGTTAGGGTTTAGGGTTAAGGGTATAGAGGGTTAAGGATATAGAGGGTTAAGGGTATAGAGTATAGGGTTTAGGGTTTAGGGTTTAGGGTTTAGGGTTTAGGGTTTAGGGTTTAGGGTTTAGGGTTTAGGGTTTAGGGTTTAGGGTTTAGGGTTTAGGGTTTAGGGTTTAGGGTTTAGGGTTTAGGGTTTAGGGTTTAGGGTTTAGGGTTTAGGGTTTAGGGTTTAGGGTTTAGGGTTTAGGGTTTAGGGTTTAGGGTTTAGGGTTTAGGGTTTAGGGTTTAGGGTTTAGGGTTTAGGGTTTAGGGTTTAGGGTTTAGGGTTTAGGGTTTAGGGTTTAGGGTTTAGGGTTTAGGGTTTAGGGTTTAGGGTTTAGGGTTTAGGGTTTAGGGTTTAGGGTTTAGGGTTTAGGGTTTAGGGTTTAGGGTTTAGGGTTTAGGGTTTAGG